CTCACCCGCTCGCTCGTCCACCCCCATGGCGCGCACGCATCAAGTTCTTGTCACCCCGCTTTCCCACCACACCAGTTTCGTTCGCCCACATTTTGCTTCATGTTCTCACCCAAACTTCAATCATGCCTCTAATATCCCTTCACTCTTGCACACATCCACCCCACATTACAAACATTTTCCACCTCCCTCATTTTCATCATCTTCTTGTGTCTACTTTTTTTTTTGCCCTTGGAACAAAAACCACATAAGAAAATACCCCTATTGCCTCAACACCCCTCAATCCTTGCCCCCTCCAAAACATTGTGTTTTCCTACACTTAAGGAACACCCAACTCCCACTTACACACATTCAACACCTTGATTGCAAGCTTTTGTATCCACATTATGTTTTGCATCCTTAATTGCAAGCCAACACATCCACATACCCTCTTTCATCTATATTTCTGCACTTTCAATGCCAATGGTGTGCCACATCCTTCACAACATAGTTGGCATCTTAAATCAACCACACTACAAAACATTCTCTTAGTTCTATTGGAAGGTCATTTGGAAAAAGAATAAAAAAGTAAAATCATCTTATCTCAAATCAAATCAAATCAAATCAAATTAATTCAAGCAAACAAAACAATAAGAAGAATGATTGACATGAGATTGCATGAGGATGTTAAAATTGCTCTTAAGATGTACATGTTTTTCTTCCATTAGAATTGTAGTAATTAATATAAAATGAATATTTTTTAAATTTCATATATAAAGTTTTATGGTTCAACCATATTATCCATCAACAATTGTTGAAAGAATTGATATTGATGTTGTAGTATTAGATATGATAAGTTTTTATTGTTGATTTTGTAATAGATCTTAAGATACTATTATATACTTCATATATCAACAAAAAGAATTCAATTACTTAGTTATAGAAGAATTTATATATTTTTGGTGAAGGTAAATTTGAATGTTTATACTATTGAATTTGTGGATGTAAAAAAGAAGAAATCAATAAATTGATTGGATAAATTATAATCAATTAAAATACATTCTCTATTCATTTTAGGTCTTTGAGTTTGTATGTTAGAGTCTAATTTTGATCTTTTCTTAAAAAAAATTACTTCTTAAATATTAATCTTACCATTGGTATGAAAATTACTATGATATTTTACTTTTTGCTAAACTACTTTCATTATCTACACAAAATTTAGAAATACCTATTATACTTGTACCTAAATTATCATTTAACTTTTTAGTTTTCACCAACTTTTGCATAAGGCAAATATGGTAGAATTTGACAACATTGTTGTATTATATGTTGTCTATGTAGATATGCATCATACTTCTAGTTGTAGAAAATAAAGTTTTATATTACAATTAATGATAAATATGAATAATTTTTGGCCAATAAATCATAATATAATCTAATTTAAAATTTAAAATATATAAAGAGCTAAAAGAAACTCTTCTTTACAATCTCAATCATGTATAAATATTAATTTTCTTATTGATTCAATTATTTTACTATTTCAATCTTTTCTTACAAATCTTAATCTTGCTTAGCAAGCTTAATTAAGATCTAAGTCCAAATTTAACTACCTAATTGGTATATTTTGTTTTTTATTTTTATTTTTGATAATGCTATTATAAGCTCTCTATATACTTATAAAAATTCAATTCAATTTAACTTACAAATTGTAAAAAAAATACCATAACAATCCCACCTATTTCACTCAACCACCAACTTGAAAGTTAATAGAGATGTTCCAACAATAACCTTCTTTCTTTAACTAGTAACTTCTACTAAAAATTTGATCTTCAAAGTCCTTTGATTGTGTACCAAACTCACATTGTTCCAACTTGTAGATTTGTAGATATTACAAAAATCATAAACAACTTCAAATTGGCATTATTCAATACCTCCTTACAAATATGTTTAGACATCTGCTATTTGCATCATTGAAATGGCATGAGATTGTTTATATTCCAAATTCCCAATACAAGTCCTGATTTTGTATAATTCTTTAAAGTATTATTAAACCCAATAGTAACAAACTTGGTACGTCCATAAATAAATTTAACAAGCTTGACATCTTTATGAATAAAATAAATCTTTTTTTTTTCTAAACTTTTAATATAAAGAGATATCTATAATAATAATCATTATTATTATTATTATTATAAAATAAAAAACAAAAAAACAAAAAATCATACCAACATAATATTTTTTAAAAGTATTACAAGATAAGTCACTAAATTAAATTTGGTATCTAAGCCTTATAATCTTGTGACCTATGGGATGCTTGTTACAATAGCCTTATAGAATGCTTTTACAATAGATTCTTAGAACTAAGTAAATTCTAACATAATTTTCTTTGATTGCAAAATATATCCACAAATTTAATTTATTCTTGTTCTTTTCATATTTTTATTGAAAGATCATATCTACATATTTCAGATTTATTTATTTCTGTTTATTTAACTTACTTAACTAACACATGTATCTATGAGAAGATAACAAGTAACATAGATAAGATTTTAAAGTAGAACTAAGACTTAATAAAAAATTAGAAACATGCTAATATTTAAATTACTCTAAAACTTATTTATATAAGATTCCAGATTTTTTATTTATTTATTTGTTTTTATTTTACTTAACTATGTATATTAAACTTTTAGTTTCTAAAGATACTTTTTGATGAGATTTTGAATGCTACAAATGCTTTTATAAGCATATATTACTTTTTCTACAAAATTCGCTAAAAGAAAAAAATAGATCTCAAATAACTATATGAACTTTTAAGAAGTCATAGTTGATTCATATAAAGTTTTTAGAAAGGTATGAAAGTCTTATAAAAAATTGACTTTTTTAAATGTCTTTTAGAAGGTTTTAAAAGATTTAAGATGTTTCTTAAGAATTATAAAAATAATACAAATACATATGAGAGTTCAAAAGATGCTTATAATTTTATTTATTGAACATCTATACATAATGAAATAGAATATCAATATCTTAAATTTATAAATAGAAATCAAATTTATTATTACTTAAGAATTTTAAAGTTACAAATTTTTTAGACTTTTATTATTAAGAAGAAATGAAAATAAAGAAATTATATTTCCTATTTGAATTCTTTCTATCTAAATTTTTCTTATACATAGGGCCATTGTTTAAGTTTTTTAATGTTATATTAACAATAACATATTAGTCTCATTGTGCTAAAAATAAAAGATTATAAATCAATTTTATTACTTTTACTTAAAAGAGCTTGAATTTTTAAGCTTGATTGTTAAAATAATCTTAACTATAAATTTAGCATATGTGTAAATTGATTTTAAACTTAGTCTTAAAGTTTTTTATAAAATTTGTATGAACTCCAATATTTAAGTTATTGGAGGTATTTAATGAAAAAAATGATATCATCTAATTAAAATATATTCAATTCATATATATACATATAGACATTCATACACATACCTATATATATATATATATATATATATATATATATAGTTATATTATATCAAAAAAATTAAAAATATTCCATTGATATTATTAGAGTTTTTATTCCGTACACCAAGTTGTGATGCTTTGACAAAAGAACACAAAAATTAAGGAGAAAAAAACACAAGAATGGTTTTAAGAGAATTGCAAATTGTATACTCATTAAAATTAGTTTGAGTTTCAAAATTTAATCAAACAAGTGCATCTATTATTACCATCACACAAAATTAAGATGGTAGATTTTTTTTTTTCTTTATTATACTTTTCTTATGAATTTATAAAGTTTAGTTGATGTATGAATTGTACACAATTAGTGTTATTGTGGTTGCTTTGATATTTGCTTTCTTTATCATATTTCTTATAGATTAACCACGATATTTGTTTTGTAAGTTATATGCAACATTTGTTGCTAAGTTTTTGTAATGTGGTATTGTTAAATCCATTATTTGGCATTTTGATGCCATTAGAAACAAATTAAACAAACTTGTCATCTTTATGAATTATTTTAATATATGCAGCGGCTAATAAATTATTGTTAAGGAATATCCATGTTTTTTTTTAAAAATAAATACACAAACAATCTAGCAAATAATGAAACCAGAATGATATTTTAAAATTTTTATGAGACATTTTATTGAATCAAATTTTAATATATTTCTATAATAGTGGTCTTAATTTATTATTAAGGCCACTTGAAAGATTATTATTGATTATATGACTTTTACACCAAATATCTAAGTTATAGGATGCTTTTACAATAGTTTCTTAGAAGTATGCAAACTCTAACAAAAGTTTTTTTGATTGCAAAGTGTAACCATAAATTTAAATTATATCTTGTTTTGTTTTGTTTTGTTTTTTTTAAAAGACAAATGTACTTCCAATTGTGAGCCTTTGCATTAATATCCATAGAGCCTACCCACTCATATTGATTCTTGTATACTCATTAAACTTAGTTTGAGTTTCAAAATTTAATCAAACAAGTGCATCTATTATTACCATCACACAAAATTAAGATGGTAGATTTTTTTTTTTTCTTTATTATACTTTTCTTATGAATTTATAAAGTTTAGTTGATGTATGAATTGTACACAATTAGTGTTGTTGGGGTTGCTTTGATATTTGCTTTCTTTATCATATTTCTTATAGATTAACCACGATATTTGTTTTGTAAGTTATATGCAACATTTGTTGCTAAGTTTTTGTAATGTGGTACTTGTTGTATAAATCACCTTCATATTTGTTATAATAAAGTTATGTTTTCTATTGTTTCTTTCTTGGTTGTTATATCTGTTTAATTATTGACAATTGTTGTTTGATTCACTTCATGCATTTGTAACACTTCTACAATTAGACTTTGTTTCTTTTCTTTAACTGATTTTAAGATAATCTCTCAGCTGCAGCTGGCTTTTAGGGTTTGTCCTTTTTCCTCCAACAATTAATTAACACCCACCAAGACAACCCCCCCTCCCTCAAACCGGTATACATCATTCCTGCCAATAGCAGAAGCTACTTTACTGCGTCGTTTTCTACGTTTCATGTGCGTCGGTATCTCCAGTACACTTGGTGTTTCCTGTTGTCGGCAGCAGTCACTACTCAAGGTTACTAGAAAGAGTTGTCGACAACGTAAAAATGCAAATTAAACTAATGACCGATTAATCAAGTAAGGTGTACAAAAACTGAAACAATTTAAAACGGAGGCAGATCCGCGTTTACATACACATACACACACTCACACACACACACACAATGCACGTTCAAGCTACAAAAACCCTGGAATTGCTCGATACACACGCAGACGATGGGCGAGTTGAACGATGTAAGAAGAAACGTCGCTGCTGCTGTGCGATTGATGAATGGGACTCCTCGGAAGCAGCCTCAGAAGATTAATCGGGTGGATGGGTGGGTGGAGCCTGGCTGCACGTTTTCATGAGTTTTCGTGTGTGTTTCTGGGCAGGCTTCCACTGCTCCGAAGCAGAATTAGGGTTTGGGTGGTGAGGGCCGAGGTGCTCACTGCAGCAGCCTGATGACAACGGAGTATCTGAGAATCGGTGCGAGTCGACGGGACCCATATCGTGAGTGTTTCTTTTAGTTTCCTGTTTTCCAAGCATTTTAACTTCATTGAATGTGGAGGTTGTATGTGCTTCGTTTTCAAATAAAATGTAACATTCATTTGTTGCCGATTGTGAGCTCAGGTCTTACTGAATCCACACTGACTCCAGCAGAGACACACGTTGTAGTGGTGATCAGTCTGCCGATGTGTCTTCCTGTCTTTTGAGCCTTCTTACGTTCATTCTAGCGCAGAAATGCACACCTACACAGAATATGCAGTTCTTCTCTCGCATGTGAAATATGCCAACGAGTGAAATGACATCCACGTTGACATCAATCTGGTGACTCTGCGTTTGAAGTGGCGCAAGGTCGAGGCGGAAATCACAGAAAAACAGAACCGGACGTCGATTCCCCTGCTGACTTCGTTCGTGAGGACAAACCCAGTAAGGAACGGGTCATTCGTGTTCCTTTAACATCATCATGGCTGACAGTCGACAACCCCTGAGGGAGAACTGTCACAGTCGGCATGGTCACTTCAACAACAATGATTGGGAAATTCTCAATGCAGCTCTATGTAATGGGGCACTCGTCGAGCACCAGAAGCTAGCAGCTCTTGTAAGCACTGGCCTTCCTCGCCATCTCACTTGCATAGTTCGTAAAGAATGGATAATGGGATTTTTCTGGAGGCAGGACCTCGTATCTGATTCCTCGTTATTCGGTCAATAGGCACAAGGAGAGATAGCAGAGTTCACATCGTCAATGTCTTGAAATCCTGTTACAAGACTGAGAGACTGCCTGTCAGTCCCTTGAAGTACACCTTAGTAACAGCAGACAATCCTGGCAGATGGCTTTGATGCACGCTGTAGGAATGGTGGCCATTTTCATATCCAACCCCGAAGTCGCTCTGGTGGTGTAGCTCTCCAGTCACAGTGCATCTACGGCTTCACACGCATGCATGCTGTTCACAAAACTTGGCGCCGAGTAGATGGTGATTTGATCACATAAGAACTTGGATACAAATCTGGATGCTGATCGCAGATGTGCCATAACACCGGTAAACATCTCCCTCTCTCTCTAAGGGTATTTGAGTCGGAATTTTAACCCTTCTCTGGCGTTATGGCGTTACGGTCGTAGAAACTCTGGCGTCTATCATTATTGCATCACAAATATCACTGCAACGACCATGTCTGATCAAGGTTGGATTTAAGCAGAAGGTCAAAGGCTGTTATCTTCCTTAGGATTGAAGTCATGGGTTTTATCTTTCTCAACTCTCCACAGGTTGGTCGACATGAGTGGGAAGTTTCTGAATCTCTTAAGGTTCAATGGCGCGATTCTTTTTTAAGATGGCTCCAAATGTGAGGTCGGTGAAATGCATGCTTTTTCTGGCACTGATGTTTCATGACAGCAAAAGCGTCAGGAGGCCAAGCCTCTGCAGGGGATTGACATTCACAGGCTTCGCCATCGTGAGGAGACATTTCACAATCTTAACATAATCTCCTCAAATGATTCTTACATGAATCTTTCTCTATTTCACACAGGCTGGTGTCTTGTTGAGAGATCATTGAAAGGTGCTTTGAATAAGCCGCACCGGTCCAAGCCGAAGGACAGACGCTCCAGCTGGAAGGAATTGCCTTTCACGCCTAATGATTCAAAAGTATGTCCGTGCAATGCTCCTGAAGAAAAAAGTGAGGAGGAGGCTCTGCTTGTTGGGACTCTGTCCTGGATGTGTACAAACGCATTCTCCTGTCAGGAAAGTTATCGCATCTTCATTTATGTTTGAGAAGTCTGGTAGAATGCACTTCAATCTTCACGTCTCTCCACCTTTGCCGTATGTTTTTCTCTTGGTTAAATTCCACATTCGGTGAGAGAAACTTCCGATCATTGATTGCTCGCTGATACTCTCCAAATCACGCACAGAACCTAATTCCTTGCTCATAAACATTGTGCAAAAAACTCCGTTAACTCAATAGTAAATGGTTTTGATTCTGGCAACTTCAGAAGCTTGATTGCGTGTGATATTCATGGTTTTGCGATACTAAACATAATCCCTCTTTATGAATGATATTACATCCTGTTCCCTTTTGCCGATTTGACGAAATTCGAACAGAATCGAAAAAAACGCTGCAAACTTACTCCGAGACGCCCCTCTCTCGTTGCATCGCCTGTTCATGCGAACAAAATCACAGAGCCACAGATCTCTGTTCAATTTGCTGCGAACGCCATACGCTCGGTGATAGCTGTGAATTAGACAGCATCCATTGAACGCTTGCAGATTCCATCCACAATACACGCAGAGTTCACTGTTGCAGTGTTTATTCATGGGCACCGCCAGTTGTACCCCCATAGAAGTAAAAATCTTGTGACGAATGTTCGCGGGGCCCTGAGGTTAAGCGAATCCCAAGGTCAAGCCTGGGTTGCATGCCGGCTTGGCTCTTGTGAGATAATCTGGGAAAGAGAGCCTCGAGCTCTTCCCATTGGTTTCGGAAATGATGATGGGTTGCAACAGTACACAGCTCCACATCTGACATCGTAGTCATCAACCTTGTGTACAAATTTTTACTAGTACTTTTGTCACCTGCTCGAGGCTCTCTATGTGAGTGTCTCAGTACCGCAAATTCAGGGTTTAGGGTTTAGGGTTTAGAAACGATTCAGAAGCGAAATTCTAACGGGGCAATCACTTTAAGAGAAAACAAGGCGGGACACAGCACATTCACCTATTCTTGGCGTGTGTCCTTGTGATCTGAACGTTTAAATCCTGAGGTGCCCATCAATGTGTCCATCCAGGTAAGATTTCCAAGCACCTGGAACAATGGTATTATTGGGGCTCTCTTAATTCTCTTTTTCCACGTCGTATTCAATCCGTGACTCCATTAATATCACTCATCTATATTTACCTCCATTAGATGTTGCTGCTGTTAACGAGTTTACCACAAACCCAAATAGCGAACATACTTACACACTGTAATATCGAAGGCATCCGGACCTGTACTCACACTGTGCGGCCGTGGTGGCATTCACCGAGATATGGATCCTTTATTCAGCTACGGAATCAACACATACTTATCTGAGAGATCGCAAGCCCAACTGCAGAGCTAAAATCCTCCCCACAGATATTCCGAAAGAGCCCACAAAGAGCTCCAAGCATACTTCCATACATTCGTGATCTCGATCTGCAACAACTAAGGAAGCAAGTACGGGATGGCAGACTTGCTATCTGCGTCCCAAAGATTCTCGCATAAATTATTGGCCCAATGCTTGGAGGTGAAAATTCCATGAAAATTTTTCCAAAGGATGTGACGGTGAAACAAGACCACGGACGGACAGAGAGCGAGACACTGAGAGGGACAACACTGTGTTTTGGGCTGATAATATTTTAAAAGACAAAGAAATAAAATAAAAAACAGAATGAATGCCTATCAATTGAGGGTTATTGTCGCACAACTGGTGAGGATTGCAGGGCAAAATGACAGCCTGCCGTGCTGTGCTGCTCGGGTCTGTCTCGCGCTTGCTAAGCTCCAGCGCAAAGCTGATGATCCGCAAGTCCCTGGGCTATAAAACCCTAAACCTTACGCAACGGCAACAAATTAGGGTTTCGGGAACCTGTCAGCTGCAAACAAGGGTTCGAACATGGGAGCCGCGGCGGCATGGGCCCTTGCACATGCAACGGCCATGGGTATCGACAGTGGTGATGGGGCCATGGAGATATGCCCCGTTGCTCGAACACGAAGCCAAAGCATAAACCTCGCTTCGCCAGGCAGGCACGATCTTTGTCCTATTGTGAGTCGTCCCTCCATAATGAAGCGTCCACATGGCGGCCAGCTGTGTGCCACGGAACGCGCGAATTCACCGCATTGGCGTTTATTCTATCGCTTGTATATTTGTCGCATGAGCTGGTTTTTATTATTCCGGGTGGGCTGTTGCCAGTTTCAGCGTACAAATCAATATTGGAAAATATTTTTAAACAAATTCGCACAAGTTAGGGTTGTGTACACATCGTATTGCAGATGGTGATGGTGACGTTGTGAACAACAAATATAAGGAGTATTCTGTTGCATTTCTGATTATTATATTGATTGTCATGATTTACATGGAGTAATACTTGATTTTTTAACACTTCTATTTCTATTCAATACTACTGTAGTATAATTTCTACTTCTAAATATATGATTTTGGTGTTCCTCATTATGTTGAAGATACAACCTGTTCAAAATCCAAACATTCACAAATTCACGTTTTATATGCAACGTTTCTTTAAGGAATATGCTGAATGGTATGTATTATGGAAATGCATGTGAATAGTAACTCAAAAAATAGTGAGATATAGTAAAAAGAAACAATACTTCCTTTAATATATATATATATGCCTACATTAATACCCAATAGAACATAACGTAACAATGGCAATAACAATAATAATAAATATGTTAGATTCAAAAACTCTAAATCCTAAACCTGTAAACAAAACCCCCGGAAAAACCTCCACACCAGAACTGGGGCGTGGGAGAGGAGAGAGCGAGAGGGGGGGGGGGGTGGAAAGGTGCAACCCCGAGTGATGATGACAAATCCAGACGGAACACATGCAATCATGGAAAAAGCCCCCACCGATACCGCCCCGGAATATGCCCCCCCCCTTCGCAGGACTACGGTGACGGAACCAGCTTTTGCGTTTCCATGGAGAAGTCCAACACTTACCATACCTTACTATATAAATACCATGACAAATCCCTCGCAACTACTGACGGAGCCAGAAAAACCCCCGAACTCCCCTCCCTCCCCAAATTTCGAAACCGCAATTATATAGCAACCCAACAAAACCCACTAAAATTCACAAAAACGAGGCCTAGGAAGGCCTGACCAAGAACAGAGCAGAAACCACAAGACCCCCGGAAGAACCTCCACATGGACAAGTTCAAATATAGTCTTCTTTTCATGGGAACGAATCTCCGTCGTCCATCCGACGGCAGCAGGAACATGGGCAATGACTAACCAGCCCTGGCACACTGCACCACTCCTCTGCCCGGACGTGCACGCCCGCCCCCTCGCGCTTAGCTGGCTGCTGAGCTGGCTGGCTGAAGTGGAACCCTTCAACCGCCTTCCCCGATCCCCTGGTCTTGGACGCTCCGCCCTGAGTCGTTTAAATTTTTCCGTGGAGATCAAAGCTTCCCGTAAAGCTAGTTTCATCGATCTCGACACTTGGCCTTCGTACGAAGTGTCCCATATGATAGTGGCTTGTTGGAGATATCATGAAACGATGTGCCAGTTTTGGACAGAGGTGTGGAGGGGCATTGACGAGGGAGATTCTAAGCCCCGTGTTGAATGAGCTTTACAGTGAAGACGAAGAAGAAGCAGAAGAAGAAGAAGAAGAAAAGCCCCTTTGTACAGGACATTCTCTGGAGAATGTGGGGAAGTGGAAGTGGAAGTGAGGATCAGTTAAGTAAGTGCACAATTTTAGAGGTGTCATTAATGGGGAAGATGGTTTGGATAATTCTTATTAGTGAATCACTTGGTATCAATGTTTTCGATAATCTCTTTACTGCTCAGTGTGGCTGTGTTCTTACACTGAGGCATTGAGGTAGCATATATCTACTGTGATTGTGATTGTGATTCCATTGATGCACATTGTTTCTTTACCTTTGTTTATTTATTTATTGATGCACTTTGTTGCCAACCAATGACATTGTCATTGTCTTGTAATGAGTTGCAGTAACAGCACAATGACACCATGATTATTCTCTGTCTTGTGTGATTGTTTGTTTGTTTTTGTTTTTGTTTTGGTTTTGTTTGTTTTTTTCATTTTGTCTTTATATGTTGAATTGCCAACTTTGAATGCATATGGTGGAACTGTTTTCATGGCAAGGAAACATCCAACATGTTGTTGAATTTATGATTTTCTTTGAAGTACATTCACTGTAACTGTGTGTGTTTTATTAACCACACATGTTGTAAATGAAAACCATGCCATGTTGATATGCGTGTGTGTGTCTAATGAAGGTGCATGCTGATGATGCAAATGCAGAAGGACATTATGGATCTGTATGAGCCATTTTTATCTTTCCAGCCCACAAGATGATTCATTGCATATCATTATGAGCAAAAGCTACAATCATAAGAAGAATGGGGGCTGGCACACTAGCAAAGTGTGGATTCTTCTTTTTTCTCTCACCCTCTTCTTCTTATTATTATATATATATATATATATATATATATATTGAGAGAGAGAGAAAGAGTGACATATGAACTACCCTCTTGCCCAATACCTTTTAGCAGCTTGACATCTTTAAGTAACAATAATATCAACAATAGAAAAAGAAAAAGAAAAAGAAAAATGACTGTCTTTGAAGGTTGGAGACCACTTCATTTTTCTTTTCTTTTCTTTTCTTTCTTTTTTTCGCTTTTTGAATTTGTTTGGTCTTCACAAAAATCAAATTGTGCTGAAGGACCATGTCAAAGAATGCTGAATGATAAATTCCATCATGCAATCTTGAAAACATCAAAAAGAAAAAAAGGAAAAAAAGAAGAGAGTAAAAAAGAGTAAGAAAGAATACCATGTTTATGACCGTTGAAGATGTGTACGGTGGAAGAATAAATAAAAAATGGTTTGTGGTTTGAAATTTAAAGGAATTGAAATGTAAGGAATTGCTGTTCAATGCATTGGTCAATCATTTTCTTTTATATTTAACAACAATAAAATATGCAACAAGGGGAATAAAAAGTCACAATCCATTCATTAAAAAGGATACAAATGTAAAAAAATAACTAGAACCACAGACTATGGTGGGCATCAGCAAAACCCTACAAGTAATATGGATTATGTTTTATTTAATTTTATTTCTTTTCTACATGTTAATAATGTTGCATAAATCACACATTTTCATATATATATATATATATATATATATTTTACCCTTTTACTTCTTAATCCTACTTCTGTGTTTTTTGCAGATGAGGGCATTTTAGGGCACACAGTCAAGTGAAATGGCCAGGTCAGAATGTCAGATTCCATTGTGACATAAAATCATGAAACCTGTCATGGCTTCAACAAAAAGAAGAGCTGCATCATATACAACACACCAAATCTTCAAACCCTAGTGGTTGAGCTTTCATGCAGTAACCATTTATTTGTATACTTTTTAATATTAATGGACAGAGAGCAAAAAAATAAAATAAAGTTGAAGTTCTGCAGCCAATAGAGATTGAATATTTCACCTCTTGTTGGGTAAGTTCTTACAATTGGGTCCTGCAAGCTTCCATTAAGAGTGAATGATAGGTTGATTAAACATGATTTTGGCTGGATTACTTTTATACAAATAAAAAGAATAAAAAGAAAAAAAGATGGTTCAGTTGAAGGATTCCATAATAAATCATTCCCATTTACTTTGGAACAATCTTTCACAATCTGTTGATTCCAACCTCATTTATTTTAGGTTTCAAAGATGGGATCAAATGTTCAAAAAATAACAATCCTTATCCTTACATAATAAATACACACGTTGGTTTGGGTTACATCACAACAGGTTAAAAATAGGTCACTCAAAACATCTACGACTGGTGATGGAATCACACACTTTATAGCTTTTAATTCATGCAACCCAATCATTTTTATTGTTTTTATCTCCCTGTAAAGAATGTTTCAGAATATCAGTTTACAGCTTTTATTTTTTAAAATTTTTAGACAGTTTCACTTTTACCACTATTTTTCTTTAACACAAGACACACCCTTGTTAAATGTTTGTAAATATGATAAATATCAAAAACGATGAATTTGATGGTGATAGTGATATTTAAAACATTGCCACTCCAATACATGCTAATAAGATTATTGTTGCAATGAAATAACCTTCTAAAATATTAAACTTGTAGCAGGAATATAATGACTAACTAATAGTACATGCATTGGGATAAGCATGTCATGTAAAATGGTAAAGTTTTATCAAGCAAGTGTTGAGACCATGGTCATCTTTTGAAAAGGAACAAGACCTAAATTTACTCACAACATTAAAAAATGATTATTATTCAATAAAATTAAAATGTTTTCTTTAGTGTCTTATTCAACAAATATTTACAGTGGTAATGTTATTTCCTGAAATATTTATTTACCTATTTTTCTTATGTTTGCCTCACTCTCATTTTTGTTCAATAAAATTTACCATCATGTGATTGCACGTGTTCAGTACAATATTGTACTGGAAAAAAATAAAAACAAAAAATGGCATAGACCACTGTATGGACAATCTCAAAAACAGTGGGTACTACGTAATATCATGTTGAATTAAAAAAAAATACATGGCATTCATTTCATTCAATTTTCACGTACAATATATTATTGTGAATTTTGTGTTAACAAGTTTACAAATGTTTTGAAAAAAATAAAATTTGTAAGATTTTTTTTTTTTTTTTTTTTTTTTTTTACTCTAAACATATGAAGGGTTAGACATTGAGTGTGACTTGAAGAGTTGAATTTACACTTGAAGAGTTGAAGACAATTATTATTATTTTTTATTTTTATTTTTTTCTGTTATTTTCTTCAATTACATTAAGAGCTAGAAAAAGCATGTGTTGATACAGAATCTGTCTGCATTGATTATTCTTTCAGCCCATGCTTGGAATCTGCACAACACCCCCACCCCACCATCTCCAAACCTGGGTTAGTTGAACGTCCTCGGTAGATGCACAAAATGATTGACCCCTTGAATGAGGGCAAAGCAGGCACCACAACCATCACTCATGGTGGGACTCGCGCGCGCTTGATCCCTAGACTCTCGTCCTCGTCTTCTTCAATCATCTACTCTCACATACACTTGGAAGAAAACTATACACCAAGTCTCTCATGACTGAAGCCTTTTTCCCACATATCTAGTGAGATGGCATCCCCTCATTTATACAGAATATTGCGGTTTTGCAACAAAAAAAAAACAAATACAAAAAAGAAGCACAAAGACATGTTGACTTGCTCTTTTTCTTCACTGAAAGCCTAACTTGTATTAATACAAGTTTGACTCTGTTGGACCATTGAATATTGCTGGGTTTCTATCATGTTTTGAAGGGAAGCCAGACCTACTTCGATTCAATTGTTCAACTTCAAAAACAAGGGTATAGATAAAGATGGAGGTTTTAGTTTCAATTTTGGTTCTAATTTTAGTTCTAATTTTATTATGAATTGCCTACAAGGAGTGGAAACGAAGTGAGGAGTTGAAGATGCAATTCCTTGGAGTGCATGAGTTTGCTTTCTATCTCCTTTCTACAAGAGTGTTGTGGGGTGGTAGCTCAAAAGGCTTTTTTGTAGGTGATTGGAATTTTGCAATTGGGGAAATACACGTAAATTGTACTGGGGAAAAGAAAAACAAACCATGTGCGTATGCCTTTGTTCCAACCAATCTACATCTACTCCATTATTGAGCTTGGAAGTCAAGAGGAATTGCAACTACTTGGTGGTCAAATGCAAAGTGGACTTTTTTTTTATTTTTCTTTTTTCCCCTATTTTCTCTTCATCTGCAGAAATGCTATGTATGACTTTGTGTAGGCATCTACGTTTGGATTCAAAATCTTTTGGAAGGTCCACATTTTGTTCATGCCATGTTGCTATAACAACATTAATAATCATAATAGAATAGAATAAACAAACAAATGTAGTACATAGAATCCATGTTCCTTACTTCTAATGTGTATGTGCCTGGTTACAAAAAAGCAATAGGGAATATGGGTTTTAGACCCCTTCTATGTCCATAGTAGCTTGTGACTTTGAAGGCATGTTTGCATTTGCTTTCTACTTGCTAGCACATATGAAAAAATAAAAGTAAAAATAAAAATGTGCACTACATATTTCAAAGGTAAATACGATTTTATGCCATATATGTAACAAATAGACACTGTATCAAAGGAAAAGATTGGCAGTGAAAAATTTTAAAATTTTAAAAATTAAAAATTAAATAAAAATTCTATCCTTCAATACATTTTGCAACCTCACTATAACACAAATTTACATTCTGTCTAACCAAGTAACACAACAGTGCTTAACAAAAACATCAGCAATAAAATTAAAAAATAACCACATCAACAGAAAAACAGCTTTTGTTCAAGGTAAGTGTTTTAAAGAACATATATATATATATATATATTTTACTTTCACGGCTCCGGTTGGAAAATCCACACCCAAGTCTCACTTTGCCATAACCCAATATATAATGCAACAACAAGTACAACTAATCCCCAAATTTATAAAACCACTGTTTTACTTTAGGATATAAGCAAGCCATCCACACACTCGTGCAAATTAGAAACGGTCTTTAGACTTATAGAAGAAAAAAGAATAAAGAACAGAGTTGGATTTGTAGGAGCACAGTTGAAACCCAACTGAACCTGACAGACCTACATTCATAATAGATAATTATTTATTTCACCCAATTTTGCGCGGAATTACGTGACGAAAGCGCGTATATTGACTGGGAAAAGACTGCGACACGGGAATAGGCGGTGGGATCAAGGGGCGGTGAGGAAAAACGTTTTACTTTTTTGCCCCCCTTTTTGGCGGGGCAGACAACCCGCTGCCCGCTGCACACGGCTTGGCCTGCTTCGGCGTCCCCGCCGGGTCTCAGCTCGAGGCTCTTTATAGCCGCGCCCCCACTTCTTCGCTCTGCAGTATATTAGTTTCATCGATTGTAGCTTCTCACGCTTTGAGCTCTCCGACGCCTCCAACGTCTCTTATCGCCGCCCCACATTGCCCCCACAAGCCTCCATTCTTGTCAGAGACAAATACTGTGCGTTGGGCTTGCGAGGAAAACACTGTGAACCATCTCTCCAGGTTGCGGAACAGGGTCGCTGATCACTGCAGAATGGCTTCCACGATGAGATCTGTGAAGAATTTCGCCCTCGTGGCTGTGGTTGTTGCTTGCTCCTTGGCCGTGAGCGTGAGCGCTCAGGCCATGGCTCCCGCCCCACCCCCGGAAAGTCACGCGGCGTCCGTGGCGCCCGCCGTGGTGGCGCCGGTGATCTTCGCTGCCTTGGCGTTCGTTGGTGCCCACATTTGGTAAGGATGTTGAGAGTGCGCGGAGGTTGTTGGGCGTTCCACAGGTGATGATGATTTTTCAGGATGTGACGTGGGAGATTATTTTGGAGACGATTGGTTTTCTGGGGTGGAAGGATCTGTGTACTGGCCGTTTCGCTTGGCGCGGTTTTTTGTGAGTTTTACTGTCGGAGGACGATGTCAAACGTCACGGTGATGGATTTCCTCCAAAGTCTTCTGTTAGAGCGGCTGGGTTTTTGAGCTTGCGTTGTTGTTGCAACAGTTGGGCTGTAGCTCGGTAGAAGGTTGCTGGCGGCCGGGAAGCTTATTTTCTTAGGATTTGAGCGGCTGTAAAAAATTTGTGATAAAACGTAGGCTAGGATTTGATCGAAGGTGCGCCTCCACTGCCCTATATCCCAGTGGAGCGACTCCTGTGAACATGACCATTGATAGAGGTGATTTCATTCATAATACGTGACAAGACGTCCACAGGTTCGAAGTTCTCTCTAAGGTTCTATTTGTGGACCTGTTGTCCAATAAAACGATGAGCATTCATCCTAATTAAATTTCTTCTCTCTGGCTTTTTGCCTTATATGCTTGTGTATACTGTAATGTTTTCTTTACGATGAGCATGGAAATCTTGTTTTGGAAGTTTTCCGAATTGTACGCTGTAGGTGTGTTACATGCTTGATTCACGGAGTTTCGACATGCATGTTACACTCGCACCTGTATGACAATTTCCTTTTACTGTTTCATCAACTCTGCACATGTGACAATAAGCAAATGATCTTCTCTCTGTATCTGAGGTAAACAACTCCGGGCGGGCTAACTCATCTTTGTCGTCATCCGGCTGGCCAGAACCTTTTTCTACTCTCAGTCGGTCTGCTCAAAGTTTCCAAGATATACCGTAAGTAATCCTTACAGAATAACAGTGTAAGCGAATTTATTCATCTTCCCTCCACCCTTTTCTTCCCCATGGTACTAGGTGGAGGGGGTTTGTGCACGGTGGGGCAGTATCTAACTATTCTTACCCTTACATCACCATCTGATGCCGCATCTTTGCAGTGCTGCTACCACCTTAAACAATAGTAGCCGTTGTCATGACAGTCTGCACTGAAGCTCCTGACCCAACTGTGATCGCTGTACCTCACATGCCAAACCCCTCCGTCCCAGGTGCACATCAGTCCAATCCCGCCCCGCTTCCTGGCTGGCTGGCTGGCAGGCATTCTGTCAGAACCAGGCCTCATTCGCTGTTGGCTGTTCCCTGGCTACAGCCGTGTCCTTGAAGCTCTGCAACAGCTCTGTCGCTGTCTGTCCTCAATCGAGCTGGAGCTCCTCTAGCTCCCGTACTCAACCTCATGCATTCCTCTGCGATGGTCTGGCACCCTTGTCTATCTGTCAAGATAGATAAGACAGACTTTGATTGCTCTGTGAGTTGGTCTCTTCGCAGCTTTTGTGTGTGTATCCCTATCCGTTTTTGTTAAGGTTCATGTGGTGGTATTGCCTTTATGTATTGTAGATTTCTCTTTGGAGTTTGCCATGTAAGTGATGATGTCTCGCGTCTTACTGGTTCCGGGATGTGTTCGTGATTTTGAGTACAAGACGGAGGACATAAGTAGTGCAATCTTCCGCAGAATGGTGTAATGAAGTATGTGGACTAAGTTTTTCAACAATTAAAGTTTTGAAGTGTTTGGATTGATTAGTAACAACAATAACAAGTGAGTTCGACAGAATGGTGTGTGTATGTGTTGTTCTTTCTTGTGTGTTTGTTTGCGAAGATAAGAAAACTGTTGGTGGACGATGACATTACTAATCTTGTAATTTCAAACATTGGATTTTTCAGAGTATGAAACTCCGCTATAATACCCATGTTGCAATATTTTGTGTGGAGTATACACAATTCTAATAAAGACTACCCATGTATATATATATATATATATAATTGGAGTGCTCGAAAAAAAAAAAAAAAAAAAAAAAAAAAAGAAAAGAAAAAGAAAGAAGGAGAAGAAAAACCCTACTTCTCCGCGTGTACCGTATAAACACTTACAGTATCAATATCAATAATTAGAATTATAACGAAACAGTCTCAATTAGAGATTGATACAAAAAATGAAAGAAAGAGACTCGAAAACTGAGGCAGTGTTGGCATACATTATTCTCCACTTACTTTTTGTGTTTCAAATTGTCGTGAGACTAGTTCATGCAAACTTGCAATTCTTGCTTCAATCATGTGAGAGGGATCTTGTATAGCTCAAACACTAAAAGAGAGACAGAATCTCCACCTTCAACATTATCGACAATAATTATGGTCTACACAACAGGTTGTAGCAAGCTTACGAACATCACTCCATTCCCATGCGTATGCGTGCCAGTTTTTCACATGTTACATGCTCAACAACACAATCGCTTAGTAGTTTCGTTCTGGTTCGACAAGTCTAAGCTCAATAATTCAGCAAAAGAGATATTGGAGTTACTTTTGAGTCATCACTCGTGGATCACAATGCATGGAGCCTCCACTTTCGAGGAAGCCCTTCCTCCGGCTCCTGCACACGGGAAGTAGTAATCAAAAAGTTTTTACTATGAAGACAGGGAGACCAAAAACCTCACTTCACAAGGATTTCGATGAGGATAGAACATATTGTTCGTGCTTCTCATTGGCGATTTGAATTGTATGTAGGGACTCTACAACGTACTGGAGACGAAATTATCTTCTTAACGCAAATTTCCTGCACTTGAAGAGAACTTTTACACACGACACGTCTGAAGGACATCTCAACATACTATGTCATGCTAGTGATGAGCCGTCGAAAACCTGGCGCACATAACGATGTGTAGGCAAAAAAGAACACACTTGGGAACATGGCAAGTGTTCTGAAAGAAAAAATAGAACGTGCACGTTTTCCCACACATTAATAACATAGTACCACCATACGTCATCTGGCTCCTGCTACTTCAAACTGCTTCTCGGTGTTGCAAGCCTTGATCCAGGCGATCATGCCACATGATCAAGTATATTAAGAAATGTTTTCTTTTTTCTTTTTCTTGACTACTTCCCTGCAAAACTCTGTTGCATCCCATGGCATGTGTGGCATTGGGATCTTTACAAGGTGCACAACTAAGTTGCCATGGGCTCCTGACCAGTTGGTGGAGGAAAAGTCAAAAATATCTCGGACAGACAGGGCCGTAAACGGCCAATTCATCCGGGCAGGAATTCTGGGAGCAAGCAACTTCATCTGCAGAATCAGAGTTGCGTATAGTTGCAACGCTCTTTCTATGTTTTCAGCTAGATTTCGATCTCTTCTCTTTTTTCTTTTTCTTCTTGCTATCTTTCTCAATCTCGGAATTCCCTATAGATCCTTCTGTCGCAGAAAGGTCGGTTTTTTTCTTTTTCTTCTTGCTCTCCTTCTTGACCTCAGAGTTTCCAACGGATCCCTCCGTCACACCACTTGTTTGCTTCTCGTCTGTAAGAGCCCGTTTCTGAACCGATCTCGTTGAATCTGCATTAAAACTGACCACTCTTAAAACCAGATGAGGATCACCTCTCAATACATAACAGGGCATAAGTCTTCCCATAAAAATCACCAGTGAAAAACTATAGTGGAATGGGCTATGCAAATATGCCGAAGGTTGCATACGGAATTTGATGTCAATACATGAACACAATTGGGTCCTTAACAGTAAGGTCAGATAACTCTCTCTTATCTCCAACAACATTTAGTCAATCACAGACGGCGTTCCTGCTTGGAAGCTGTACATACCTCCTCTAGATTTTTCCCCTGATGTTATGCCAGATCTTATGCTACGGCCACCAAGTGAAGTCTCTTTCTGTATCTCAAGCTGTCGTCTAAAACATACTTTAGATGTAATTCTACGCACTGGAAAAGAAAGATGCCACAGCGACTATCGTTAAAATCGTGGATACGTTCAAGGTCGAAAAGACAGAAATTATCTTTAACGAATACGCATGCTTAGTTGGCATCGAAAAATCACTTAAAAGCTAAGATACCACGACAACTTCATAAGTGAGTACCAAAAAAGAGATTGTACACTGAAATTCAAAAAGCACACCTGCTTGGTTGAACAAGCCATTTAGTTATAAGGACAAAAGAATGTGCACCGAAATAGCAGTTTAAGATCTCTACAAACTTACAATATTAAGAAAAAGTGGTAAAAAATCTAAGGAGGACGTTACCAGTGACTTGACTCCTAAATTCAAAGAACTGAGTCGACAAAATAATACTATGGTCACAATGCAGGTCGTGGACTAGGGATCTCTTACCAGAATGCTGAGAAGAGCCTGGCATTATTGCATATAACTTCTTCCTATCCACATTCTCCGTCACCACGTTACATATATCTCCTAAAAACATCAAAATCTCGAGTCATTGATTGTTGAAAAATCCTCTAGTACTATATGAAATCTCGATTGGCAAATTGAAATACACAAAATCGGAACCTATGGACTACTTGTAGTCATCACTGTTTGGTAGAATTTTCTACTAGGATTTTTAGAAAACAAAATCCTATGAACTTCCTAGGCTGATGCCACAACTTTAAGCAACCCACGCAATCATCTGGAACGCTAGGGACAGAAATATTACACCTGTTCTTTCCTACGAATGGCTAGAAAAAATAATTAAAACCGCTGCAAGAATTACACGCCTGACGTTGCACGCCCCTCCTAAACCAACGGTTCTCTGCCCCAATGTAGAATTCCTAGGACAAACAATCGCAAGGTAGTGGATTCATAACCTACCTCGAATGCTGTAGAAGTGCCCAATTTTGCCATCCGAATCAGGAGGTTGTATGACCCATTGTTTGTCCATCAAGTCCTTGGGACCTAACTGTAAAGCCAGCGTATAAGGTCAGATTGCAGCACGAGCGTCATTCCAACGCCTTCAAGACCAAAACCAAATACATGCAGCCCACACCACGACACCTCCTTGTTCTCAAGATGCAACAGAATCTCCGGCAATCACTTACACATTGATAAGATAACCGCTCTTGCATAAACAAAAAGCCCATAATCTGTTACTCTATACCCCTCCCACAGTGAGAAAAAGCCACAAGTCCATGAAACGAATGCCAACAGTGAGACGGAAACAGTGGGGCTCACTTCGTTCACAGGGAGTTGCACGAGCCATAGCTCGGTGTTGGACGATGCCGCTTCTTCCACGAGAGGCGCCAGAAGCTCCACTTGTCGAAACCCATCGCCAGGCGAGTACCCAGAGTACCCATCGAGCATTTTGGCTTCCTTCATGGCGCAGCTGGTTGTGTGCGCTTCTCGCAGAACAAGGCGCGACGATTGAACATCGCAAGGTGAGGCGAGTCAGAGCCCGACGTAGGCAAAGGTTAGGGTTTTAGGGTTCTGCCTGAAACTTTCAGACGCCTCCATTACTTTTTCAGCCTCTTCGGGTTTCTGATAAAGTAAAAGAAGATGACGAAGAAGCAGAGAGAGAGAGAGAGAGAGAGAGAGAGTGTGTGTGTGGAGAGCAGTGGGGAAAGAAAAGGAGAGAAAAAACGAAAGTAAGGAAAGACAAGGAAATCAAAGAAAAAGAAACTAGGTCTTCTGTACACGTCTTTGTTTCCGCTGAAAAGAGTTTGTTTATAGTAGAGAAGTTGCATCTCCATTGCGTGCTACTGTACAAAGCTTTTCCTTAAGAGTCAGCCCTGAAATATAACTACAAATACATCAAAAGAACGTTGGAAAACCAAACTATAGAGAGGATCAGTAGTGGTCCACATTTAATAAATATAAGCCCCTGCTAATATCAGAGACCAGTTTATATCACTTTAAGAATGTTGCTGATATGCTCTGATATACCCCTCCTCATATTAAACATACAATTTTGTAATTGTTCGCAGGAAAATATTACCTGCTTTCGTTCTATCATTCTTTTCCATTCTGTTCCTTCCTCTGCGTCTTCCAAATTATTTTAGCAAAGCTGTCGTCATTGTGCTTGTTCTCACCTTTAATGAACACCTGAAACTCTTCTCGAATGTACAATTACGAAGACGACGAAGCGTCTCACTAAAACTGCAATTTCAGACTTCTTCCGTGGCTACAAAGCTATTTTCCTCCGTCAACTGACGATATCCTAATGGAGCTCAATTAAAATCACAAGATTTTGTGACGCAGTGCCGGATATACAACGTTCGAAACCTCATCAAATACAAAAATCTCCTAATACGTCCTATTACACGTCTCCTGACGATTATTTCTTTGCTTATGCATTTTCTATGCTAAAACTGGGGTTAATGTGCGACATGATAATCTAGTTGAAAGAGAAGTAACGATTGCCAGACAATGGAATCGATGTTTCTCGCCACATAGGTACACTTCGGACAAAATTCATGAAGGATCAAATATGAAGCAATGCATTCATGCTGCTTGTCTTGAATCGATCCACGCTCGTCAATTTCTTGATTTTCAATTAAGGAATTTCAATACTAACTTGTAGACAAGAAGTTGAAGTGATGAGGAGGGCACAACCTGTAATAAGTGTGGAACAATTTCTTCACACAGACCTCAGAAGCCCTCATATCACATTATGGTCTTGAATGTACATATCTGGACATCCCATCTTTACTTGGCCGTTGCTGAAGTCGCTAACGCACTACTTGGATGGGGAAAGTCGCCATCACTGCAAAAAAGCTTCAATGACCCTCTCAAAATCGTAAAATCATGCAAAGTCACAGGCTGTTCTTTAGTGGAAATTTCGAAAGGCTGCCCTGGTGCTCTCTTAATATGGTGCAAAATCAAGGAATTTCCGCCCTTCTTGCTCATAGGTCATGAATTGCAAGGACCAATGATAGAGACAAGAATGAGACCAGTGTTGGGACATTCATCCTTGCTCATCGTCTCCTAACAAATATCATTAATATATAGATATATCATTAATATATAGATATATCATTAATATATAGATATATGAAGTTTAGATATTAGGGTAAAGATTCACTTATTACGGACACAAGTAGTCCACCCCCTATGTCCTTTCTGTACTTATACTAATACAAATCAATACTTGGATTATGTTGTTGGCATTTTAGTAAAGCATTATTTTGATATGGTTTGTTCTTTCATGGTATCAAAGCAAAAAATTTTCTATGTTGATTTCAATTATTGATTTGCAAGTCTTTCACTTTATTTATTTTGTAACCAATCTTTTTTTTATTATTGTGGTTGTTTATTGCCTCTTACAAAGCTAACCATCTAAATATATCATATCTTCATCTCTTTTACAAATTTGCACAATGAATATATTACAACATATATGCTCCAAAGAAATGACGTTAACTGGATTAAAGAATTACAAGCATTGAGTGATCACATTACAAAGCATTTAAAAAAAAAAAATGATCTATGGGATTTTTTAGAATCATTATCTTTTAGAATACCAATGTTTATAGATCTAAAGAAGTAAGAAACCAACAACCCAAGGCAAAATATGGAGCCTTTGGATATTACAAACTTAGATCAAAGATAGAAAAGATGAGCTATAGCCATACTCTAATTGTCAATTTCTCTAGATGTATATCACAATATCATAGACATAACCAATCTAAAAGAAACTTGAAATGTACTAAGCACTATGTTTCACACCAATACAATCTCAATTACCATGATGGTATTAAATCGGTGTCGAGATAGAGAAAGTTTGCCTTAAGAAAGCACTAGGCTCCTGGCTATCACTAATTACTCTATCAAGCTTCAAAATAAGGGAAGCCCTAAGTTTATATATAAAATTTCTTTTTTGGAGCAATTACATCAAATACATAAGCCTCAAGTAATCAACAACACCCTGTCATGGATACCAAAATACAGACTTGAGATCTAATAAGAAGTTCAAGAAGAACTGGCAAGAACTAGATTAATCAAATGAATATAAAAACAACACCAGAGAGGTGAGTTAGAGCTTCAAGAGATGTGTTGTCGAGACTGAAGAACTCTTCAGCCTCGATTTCAATATATACTCCTATTTAAGAAGCTTCTCAAGCAACTTCTACCAATTAGGAAGCTTCTAGAAGGTTCCAGAGACTTGCTTCTAAAAGATTCTAGAAACTTATCTCTAGAAGGTTCTAAGGACTATGTCCCTAACATCTTCTACCAACTAAGAAGCTTTTAGAAGGTTCCAGAGACTTGCTTCTAAAAGGTTCTAGAAGCTTGTCTCTAGAAGGTTCAAGAAACTTGTCTCTAGAAGGTTCTAAGGACTATGTCCCTAACATCACCCCCTCCTTTAGCTTCGAGGTCTCTGAGAAGCAATGTTGTTGTCAATCAGTACCAACGCAAGAAAATGAAGATCTGTCACATAACGTCTGCTATGAACTCCAATTGATGTTCATGAGGTAAGTGGTTCATCGATCCTTGAAGCCAACGATGTCGTATTATGTGCTTTCCTGCTCGAGAACGCGTCGGGCGTCTAGCTGTAGAAGGTAGTATGGAGATTCGCCAATAGTCAAGCAGTCTATCAGTTTTTGACTGTTAGAATATAAATGACTACAAGAATACACCGTAAATCTATATGGATGCCCCTTCGACTGCTCGCCGAAGTCCTTTTTGTCCCGGTGGGTAGGTCTCTAAACGTTACAGAGAACCCCGAACAACCCAAACTGTTAATCTTCGATACCGCTTTGTACTTAGGATCTTGTATCCACTGACTGTTTTGTTAGATTAACCCAATAAATTTCATTCACTCCGCATACTCAATCCTATAGACATCCTTTTAATTCTCCAATCACAGACGTAACTCCAATTTCACAAAACAGTCAAGAGTGATCACATCCACTTCATTAAAAATCCCGATTCACCATTACAACACTGACTTCAGCAACGATTGCCTCAGTCTTCCCAAAACCCTATGAAGAAGAAAAACCCAATTCTCTGTCTTTTCTTCCCCGACCCCGAAGCATGAAGCTAGCTCTCTCCTATCTTCAAAAAAAAAACCTCTAATGAAACCGAACTAGTAACCCTGAAAAAAAAAGCTTGAAGCTCGCTCTTCGATCCAAAAAACCCCCCCAATCTATTCTCTCCCCTAACCTTATCCTCTGAATTTCTTCAATCTTCCGTCTTGGACCCGAAATTGGCTCCAACCGTAAGAGCTTAGATCCAAAATTGGCTCTCGCCATCAAGGCTTAGATCCGAAATTGGCTCTCGTCGTCAGAGCTTTCTCCTCTGTTTTTACCTTTAAGAGATCCATTAACCGAAAACAACGTTCCCTGAAATGGCACAGAGAATAGGACAACCTGAAACAGAATTGAAACCCCATACTCGGGTCCACATTGAGTCGCCCGACCAATTCAGGTCTCATATTGGGTAAGATGCCCGTAGTAACCTGGATGCTCGCGTCAGATTGGCTAAGAGGCCCGTAGTAAGACCTGGATTTTCCCATAATTAGACTGCATTGGGTTGCCGGGCCAATTCAGGTCTCATATTGGGTAAGAAGATCCGGATTGGATTCTTGAAATTGGATCCAATTGGCTCTTCGAACCAGGCTCACCCGTCGTGTGAATTGGTCATTTCTCTTCTTGTTGACTCCCGTTATTGGAATCAAATGGAGCATTTCAGTATGCCTCGGTTGACTGTAACGGGGTGACTGAACCTGGCCACTCAGTATTTGCACTGGAGTCGGTCGTTGCTCCCAATATTCGAGGTAACTGAACATTAATAAAAGTCCCCTTTCTTTATATTTTCACGGTATACTCGTGTTACAATACGACAACGATATTGGCCCACTCCTTCAACTTCTGACCAAGCATGAACTTTCGTGTCTTCATTGTGAAATTGTCTTGCAAATATGCCTTCTGATTGACAATCGTAAGCAGGCTCGGACTCAAATACAATCACCAGTGATCGGTTACTTGGTATCCTCCGTCGTCGTCGTGGTGCAGGTGGTTCTTCATCTCGGGGTCGCCTTCGTGAGCTAGTCGGTTGAGATAATTTGACTGGCATAGTATCTATCTCTTGGCTATCCATATCAAAATACCAAACTATGGCTACCAAAAAAATCTATTTTATCTTGGAGAAAATAACTACATCAACTACGAATTTTGTTGGTGTTCTCTCCCTTTCTTATATTCTTGGGTGAGTAAAATTCAGAACGAAGCTATCGTCAAACCGGCTTTAGTTTATGATGATGTTGTTGATGAAACTCCGTTACCTTTTGTGGCGCATTGGCAAGATTTTCAACTAGCTCCCACGTTCGCTCATTAATATCGTAGCCGTACCAATGAACAAGATACTCCAACTTGCTCCACCTTTGCCGTGAATCCAACACCTTTTCAACCTCGTATTCCTCATGGTTCTCGATCTCAATACTAGGTGGCGGACATTGCACTCTTCCA